TAGAAAGCATCGTTTGTGGAAGAATCTTATCCGTAGTCATACAAAATTATCGTTGACCCTAACGCGTATATAACCCGTGATAATCAGGTTAAATATATAATTTTGATATATTAAACATCTAAATTCCAACATGAAACTACAACATTTTTTACAACATTATAAATTAAAAAATTAAAAAATAATCTATTAGACAATAAGAGATTTATTCTAAAGCAGTATTTATTAAATCAATTTCCAATCTCTTCTCAGAAATAATATATATTTTTAAATCCTATGATTGGCTTTCATAAAATATCTATGAAAAATCTTTTTCTTCTATGTTAATTAATTAAATAAAAACAAACTAATTATAGCTTATATTAAACAATAATGAAAAAAATGCATATGTTAAAATTTTTTAATGCATATACGTTTAGTAATAAATTATCTTATTAACAAATGTTCTACGATTCTCTTATACAAAAATACACATTATTAAAACATTATCTAAAAACTTAAAAAAGACAAACGCAGATCTGATTTATGCCAAAGTTGCGAGAATTATATTTTTTTGTTTCATTCTCGTATACTCCGCTTCCCAAAAGTGTTATATCCGAATAAGTTGCCTTTCCCCTTCTTGCGAACACGTATGATGTCATCGTATATGGGGTCATTTGTACATGAAGGGGCTACTGGCACTTAAGTATGCGTTTAAAAGGCGGAAGAGTGGTTATAGGACCAAGTCTCATACGACGCATATGCACGTAAGCATACAACAAATGTTTATGCTCCTTGAAATAAAAAGAAATAATTCGTTTCGCGCAAAATAAGTTTATTAAATGTCTAAAACTCTTAAGCAGTCAACGATTAAATATTTCAGAAATCAAAACTTTTCAGAAATATATATTCAATAATACAATTTTTTAATTAAAATTTATCTATAAAACTTTAATTATTTAAAAATTTATTATTATTTAAACGTTAAGTTATCTCTTACAACTTTTAATTATTTGCTTGTGTTATACTTGCTTGTGTTATATTTGTGGCGCCCCTAATTAAACGATTTTCGTTATAATTAACAAGTCTAAATTTAAAACGTATTAGGGTAAAACGTACAAAGAGAATTTAATAGCACCAATAATATTTCATACCCAAAATCTAACAGACTAAAAATAAGTATTTTAAGGGTAATACGACCCTTCTGCAGACCATTACTCTTTAGACGTACGTAAAGAAGGGTGAGGCTCTAAATGAAAAGAATGAAGCATGAAAACATGGACAGCTAATATTTGCGAAAAAAAAAAATAAGACTGTAAGGTGATTACTAGACAAGTCTGTTAAAAATAAACGGAAGAAAAATGAAGCTAGCCGAACAATATGTAATAAATAAGAAGTATTATTAGCTTTAAGATTAAAATGTAACAATAAGATGTATCAATTAATTAAACAATACCTACTCTTTAAATTCCTTGGAGTGGAATCTCACTTTAAAGAATGAAAATTGAGCCAATCTTGAAAAAGAGTACCTTAATTTTCAATCTTTAGCAGTAAGATTCACTCTATAAATTTTAGAGAGTAGAAAAAAACATTCAAGAGGTACGATAATATTCAATTTAAAAAAATTATTCTCACTACGAAATATCGAAAATAGATATCGAAAAATATACACATTTTCTATGTTTAACATATCGTGTATAATAGATTTTTGCGACCAATAAGAAATGTTTTTCGATTTACATGTTTAACGAATACAAAATACTTTTAACATCGAAAATTTCTTGCTTGCTCGCTCGCTCGCTAATTAACCGAGTTATTGGATTTCATATTTGAAGCATAAAATGAAGAACTACCATAAAACTGAATAAAGTGTCGTATTAACAATCATCAGTTATTGATATGCGCAATTTTATAAAAAAATTAGCTTAACAGTAATTTAAAAAATGCAAGAAAAAAGCGAAGAAAATTAATAGAAAATAAGAAATTACTTTAAAAATGAAATTTTTTTTTTTACTAATAAATTCGTCGATAACGTATATTAATATTAAATATTTACAGTTATATTACTACAAAAATTATAGAGGAAAGATGTAATATGGACTTGTATTTTGTTTCTTTGTGTATTTTTTATTTATTTTCAAGTCAATAATATCGCAAACAATAATATATTAATGTAAGTTTAATATAAAACACACTTGAAATAATTAAGACAATATACAAAATGAAAAAAATTGTTTAAATAAAAAGAGATATTATGATGTAACTATCTAAATGTGATAAAATAAACTTCCTATATTTTTACGGAATATAATTTTTTCTTCAGATTTATTTAAACTTGCAAATAGTTTGAATTTATAAAAAAAAATTCTGACTATATTGACAACGAGATATTATCAGATTCAGCAGTTACTTTTCATGAATATGTTCTCCTAGCAATACTCTTAGATTGATCTCGTCTTCGTGAATGTTTAACCATCATTGAACACCTCTTTCCAGCTTTGTAAATACCTTTAAGGACTTCTTAAAATATCATTTTTAAATGATAATCATGAAGATTTTTAATGAAAAACAACGCTTTACAATACCCTTGTTATTTAATTATATCTCAGCGAAAATATAATTATTCAAGCTTTTTTACCTACTCAAAATAGAAGAATAGCATCTTAAGAATTAATATGATATGAACTCGTTACTTAAGAACTTGAACCACATTAAACTTGATACTGAAAATCATACGAAATAATTTTGATATACCTCGTAATAGATAAACATTAATTGTCAATAAAAAATTGCACCAGTCATGACTGCAATTGTTTCACACTTCAATACCTATCTAAAAACAAGTTAAAAATGTTTTAAAAGAAATGATGTTAATTACAACAGAATTTTAATGTAGTCCATATTACCAGAGCAGGCGCCTACATTATAATCACCTTTTTCTCTAATATTTTGATAAAAACTAGAGCTATCTTTTAAATTTAATTTTAATTTAATTTAATTTAGTTTATTGCAAAGCTTTATAAAAAAGACTACATGTTAACAGAGTAATAGACATAAAATATGATACAATAGACTATAGTTCACATAAACATAAATACAATAGACAATAGTAGCTTGCAAATGGTCAGGTGTCAGCAAAATTGCTATTACAAAGCCTACCAGTAACAAAACCAGAATAAGACAACAATGTAATATAAGAGGTAAACCAATAGCTGAAATTATACAGAAGAAATCATGACAGAGAAACATTATAGACAAATATTTTTACTTCAAAACTAAACTTCTGTTAAAATATTATTACAGATTTCTCTGTTTCTATTTTACTTCTATTTTACCTGAATAATAAAATATGTGCGAACAATCTTATCTTAAAAATTGTTTAGATTTATTAAGGTTGTTATTAATCATGCGAAATATATTCGTTATTTAGAGAACTTTTATGGAATATATATATATATCCTGTATAATGTAAAATATCCTATGTAGTATAAAGTCTCTCTGTCTTGCTCTTTTTCCTCATATGTATAAACTTTGACCTTACTCTCAGGCACGAGTCTTCTTTTTTATAGATATTTTTACGCTACAGATGTTGTCTGCCAATCTCGCTAAGAGTTAATCTTAAAACCCTACGCAAATCGGATATATAATTCGATCATATTATAAATATTACATCATATTAAAACAATACATAAATAAATTCGCTATTCGATTGCCAAAAAATATGTACTTCCGTAAAAATCCTAAATATTTACTCTACTTTAGACTTATTCAAAACAACTATTCCTGTTTTATCTGCGATTTTCAAGACCAAGGTACTTAAGCAATTTTCAAGACTAAAATCCGTGAACAAGCAAATAATCTCAACGGACCAAAGCTCATAAAACAATGTAGTCTAACAGCTGACAGCGGGACAAGCAACTCGTCACAGGGATACAAGGGTCCTTTTAGTCACGGTAGTTCTCAAGGGAGAATTCTTTCATTGAGACGATTTTTTTCGTAGAGAGCCGTCCTGGCGTTTTCTCAGGAGGGTCGTCGTTTGCCGCACATTCATGCACGTATTGTGAGGCTCCCTATTGCGAGGTATCCAGTACGTACAGTAGCCTAACAACAAAAGGCCAAGCGGTCCATTCCGCACGCTGTGAACTCAGGTACTCCCGTGAAGAAAAATCAATTGTCAATGTACCCATTGTCCGCAGGAAAACTGTGCTTTCTATACCGTGCGTTCTTCGTTCTCTTCCTCCTCCGAAAGCCTCGTTTCATTTCGAATGCAGAAAGTTCAAGAAAGTAATTTCAAGAAAGTACTGCTGAGACCCACTTTTTATTTATATGTACACTTAAAACAAAACGCGCGCCTTTCATTCTGTTAATTCTGCATTGTCTATTTTTGTGTGTGTGTGACTCGCAAAAATACATTAATTCGTAAAATTCAAATATGAGTCACACAGATAGCCTACTCGAGATAAGATACATTTTAAATTTAATTTGCTCGAAATACCGTTTGACAAATTAATTAAACTTCGCGTAATACTGTCCAATTACATTGTTACGAATGAAATTTTTCATTAAACTTGTAAACAGTAATTGAAATTTTCGCCAGACACACATCGTGAAGACATAATTACTCCTATCGTAGTCGGAATTATTGTTGACATTGAAACAATTGTCGCTCATGATAAGTCAGTCTTTGATGCTTATCAAAAGTGAATTGATGATTTTGAAACGTACTGTATGCAATAGTCGCACCCTTTAGATGAATTATTGCAATCCTCTTACAGAGATTTGCAGAATAATATCTATTTGTCTAGATTAAATTCAGAATGAAGAATCATTTTTAACGCCGTCGTTGTACCTTTGCCATTCTATCCTTCGCGACTATTGAGCTCTATTTCGAATGTAGAACATTCTGTCCCTCTCACCCTCTTTCTCTCTCGCTTTATTCCATGCCGAGAATAACGAACCGCGAGATAGCGATGAGAGCGGTGTCAGGGCGCAAAAGGAAAGCGCGAGTGAGGCAAAAGACTCACCGAAGTACTTGTCTGGTTCAAGACCCGAGTCCTTGTCGAGGCCGCAAATGACAAAGTAATCCGCGAACCGCTGTGGATGTTGCTCCGGACCGCGCGTTATCCCCAGACTCCCGTTCATCTTTCCCGACTCACACGGATTTGCAGCAGCAGCAGTTGCAACGCGCTGCCGTTCACCGCGGGCCACCTCGAACGTTGCCGCCGCCTTCACGAGATTGATTTCCACATCGTGCACCACACCGATGCGGCACTGTCACTTCACTTCAGCCGAGACAACAGCTGAGCGAGCACGCTGCATACAACCGCTTACCGCGTCGCGCACAGAATAACGCACACTGTGCGCTACTGCGCTCTGCGGAGCGGAGCAAAACGGCAAGGAACGGTACGGAGCAGAGTGGAGCGGTGCGTGCGGAGTGAACTGGCCGCAAATAATTGATCTCTCACCGTGGCGCTTGAAGTTAGCCGCGCGTCGTGCGCGCCGCATCGGCGCCGCGCGCGGCCAACTTCAGCGCCGCAGTACGATTTTCGCGCACAATTTGATTTCAAAACGAGAAATGCCGTTTACTTTATAGTAGATGCTTCCCAATTGAAACTTATAGCGTTTTTCATTGACAAAACTAGTGCGCATTCAGTGCACTTTAAAGCCGTTGTACACAAATTGATATAAAGATGTATGTTTAATAAAAATATAGAAACGAATTAAACTACGAAACATTTAATACATTTTATTGTGCTATTTGATAAAATACATATTGGGCATTTTATCAATTGAGATCTCACTTTTTACTTTTACATTTAAATTAGAATAGTGTACAATAGCTTTAATGTGCGTTGAGTGCGCACTAGTTCTACCAATGAAAAACGCTATTAGACACTTTCGTGCACACGGCAACACAAATTGTATTCCAATTGCCGTAATAGTTGACACTACACATTTGTATTCAGCCCGAGAGCTACTAATCGGCTGTGTAATTAAGCTTGTGTTTTCTATAATAACAATTACATATTACACACACACACACACACTAAATGCGACGGCCATAAATGAGGTTTTAAGACGTTAGGTAACCGACATTCTTACTTTTTTTCATTAAATGCAAACAGAAGAAGCTACATTTAATCTAACTTTATCCAAAACAGACAGAGTACAGCGAACGCATTCTACTCCATTCAAATCGTGTATTGCTACACTTTTTACATTCCTATGTACGTTTGTGTTAAAATGTGTTAAGCAATTGGAAAGCTCCATGTTTCCTCGATCACGATACGATAAAGTTACCAAACGTCCTCGTTTCCCGGAGACAATCCTCAGATTTTTATATATTATTAACAGTAATTTGGAAACACTTTTAATACTATTCCAGTTTATATAGTACAATTTGTTAAGCTGCAGAATAAAACAAAAAAAAATATATATATAATAAGTAGATAGAATTCTTCCACAAAAATATTTGCGATGGTGGGAGATCCACGTTAAAAGGGGTAATATATTAATAGAATAACATAATCATTGCCACGACTACATACTGAAATTTTTTTTTTATTTTGATTATGATAGATTCTGTGTTCTTTGCTAGCAAGATTTGTAGCAAATCTATATATGATATTTCCTAAATGTACAAGTAATATAACGATGATCATTTCCGAAAAGCATTTGTATTTCTGTGTAATTTTAAATAAAAGGTCTTGAAATAACATAATCAAAGAGAGTGAATTAAGGAACGGTAACAAATTTGCATATACAATTGCAGTGCAATTACGGTTCATTCAAACAAGATTATTCAAATCGCTTGATTAACCTACATAGCGAAAGGCCTTCGCGAGAAATTTTCTATAACGACATATTTGCGAATGCAATATTATTAAATTATCCCTTGTTAGTATAGAGAGCCGTTAAGTAAAAAGTTCGTGTTGTACACATAACGTGTGTTTGACACAGATAAATTTTTGAAAATTTCTGCAGAAACTAAATTCGTACAAATTTAACTGATAATTTCTTTAAATAATTTTCTTATATTGTCATTGTTTATATATTTCGTATAGTCTTTTTAAAAATCTCTATAAAAAAATTTTATAATATTGTCCAAATAATTTGAATTAATTAATAATAATAATTTAATATATTATTTAATTTATTCTATAAATTTATTCTATAAACACTACCAGTGTCTCCAGATTTCGAGGTTATAACAGGTTATAAATTTGGGTGTATTCCGTTTTACGAATGATGTGCATAATGCATCATTTATCGTTGTTTAATATTCGGTGGACAACAAGGATAAATGATGCATCATGTGAGAAACGGAATGCACCTTTCGTATGCAAGTTTGTGCATGTAAATATCTTTCCAGAATGGCCGCTAACTACTTTTTTGTGACCATTACAAACGCAATTTTTTAAACGCTATTATAATCTCATTTTTAGAGACATCTATAAGGTACGCAATAATATTCATGTGCAGTTTAGTCAAAGAAGCGTCTCTGAGCCTTACCTCTGTCACTAAGTTATACATTAAAAGTTATACTTTCTATATTCTCAACATTTTTTTCTCTTATTTCATCGCTAACTTACCTTAGAATTTTGCACACGTCAAGTTCATTATATAAAGTAATATTAGACATTTCTATGGTAATTCGATTTATTAAAGAACTACTAAAGAACCACCTTAAAAAATCATGAATTGCCAGTTAACTTTACGCGAATCAAAACTCTGAATAGTCTGAATTCATCCGCTGTCAGAAAATTTGTAAAAATCCCTCCGATTGGCACTATTGGTAGTATTGAAATGTTGCCACGCCACCTGTCACGAATACACACGTATGCACATACATACACATACACACACATACCATGCACACACATGCGCGTGCTGTGCAAATGTCCGCTCGCGAGCGCTTGTCACGCTCGCCGGAAGGTTAGATCCCGATGATTAAATCGAGCCGGACCTCATAAACACGCGATACGACGGGGCGGTAGCGACGCCTCAGAGTTTTCATCTTTTTACGTAGGATGGAGGAGATCGACAATATAATAATTCACTCGTTGCGACAAATAGGCTGGTAAGTGTCCAGATTCAGCGGCTCCGATCGGTTCACCACTGGTTTTTTCCCTTGCGACGGCGATAAGGTGGGCGGTGTTTCAGCGATATCCTCGCGAATAGGGGCATCGTGCACGTGAGCTCATCCGCACGATCATTTCTTTTGACATCATTGAATCGTTGATTTCAAAACAGACGAAAACTATTGAGTGTTAATACTTAGAAAAATATCAATATGACATGAAAAGCCTTATAAAAATAAGAATGACACAGATACCTTCTATCTTCTTGCCTTGAACTCCAGAAGATATCACAAGTCGCCTATGACTCCTACATTTCTCAGTTCGCGAGGTATCTTATAAGTATAAAAGTGAAATAGATAATATCTTCTTTATCTTCTTGCCTTAGAGAAATTTTATAATGTGCCACAAGTTGATTGTATATTTGTTTTTATAGCTGAAGTAGAATGAAATAGATACCTACTGTCTTTTCGCCTTAGATAAATTTTATAATATATAAGTCTCTCGAGTGTAAGTCTGTTTTTTATAGCTGAACTAGTATGCACTTTTTTTACTTGAAGTGAAATAGATATATATTTGGCAAAAGCGAGAAGGAAAATTTTAACGCAGTGATAAAAAACAAACTTCTTGACTCTTGTGTTTCTTAGTTCCTTTATTATTAAAAATAAATATTTCTTTTCAGTGACATTGAAGAGAACGTAACGAATCTTAGTAGCTTTAACACTGAACTAGTTGTGGAAGCCACTGTAAGATGCTTAGAAGCAATAAGGCCGGGTTCAGGTTTGTCTACTGTATTACCTGTAAACATGGCAGCGCGCTTTCGACTGGGTGCTACTCTTGCACAAACGTGCATGGTAAATATATTTTGTCTTTTCTTAGACCAAAATATATTCATGTGGTTTTGCTTATTTCCATTAGCTGATCAAAATTATAGGAGCTTGGATACAGAGGTGACATCGGCTATCAGACATTCCTATATAACTCAGAAGCAGATCTGCGAAGAGTATTTATGTTTCTCATTGAAAAACTGCCAAAAGAGAGTGAGAAAACTGTAAACGAATCCATCAGTAAAGTCGCTTTATTAGAGAAATCGGTAGCATCTGCAATATCTCAAGGACTCTCCATACCATGGTTACCGCATTATTGTCACAAACAGGGATTCAGGAATAGAGGAAGAGCGAATGTCCCTTATGTGTCTGTAAATATCGAAGTACCAATAGCAAATATCGAAGATGGTAATGCAATATTAATATTATTTGGATTACCTTTGCCAGACAATGTTAATGCAATGTGGTGACCGTTATTATTGCAGATTATAAAGACTATTGTATGCGCTATTTACAACCAGTGCCTGAACAAATGCAAGACATTGCGTGCTTTTTACCTTCAATGATATCATACAATGCGAAAGCGCTTAATACTTCTCCGACAGATATTATGGAACGCATAAATTGGCTTAATAGCCAACACTCTGAAAAACCTGCTTATTCTAATGCGTATAATATTGTCAAAGAGTTTAGCAAATTCTCGGCAGAGAACAAGACGCAAACTTCAACAGTAAGCATACAAGATACTCTTATCTTGTACATATACTTTATAGCTGATTATTAGTTGCTTTTCGTTTTCATACAAGTGATACTGAACCTAAAGTTATACGAGTATTTTATACTCAGATAATGACGTCAGTACTCGCTTACGTTGGTATTTATACCTACATAACAAGACAAGTTTATAATCTCACTTTTAATATGAGTTAACAAGACTAAATAAAGCTCACTTGCCAGAATGAAAAGGGACATGCATTCAACTGAGTTATGACATCATAAATAAGAATTATCTAAATTTTGATGTAAAAATGGAAAATAACTACTATATATCTTACATATTCGTTATAATCATTAAATTTTTAGGAATCTCAGGTGAAATCAGAATCTGCAATGCATCCAGTGCTTCCAGATCAAGAAACATTAAGAAATCAGGCGAAACAGGAAGTTGAAACAGAAAAGATGAAAGCAGAATGCGAAAGTCTTAGAATAAATATAGAAGAATTACAAAACGAAATTAAAAAATTGACCACCAGATTAGCTCAAGCAACAGTAACCGGTCAAAATGAAGAGAAGGAATTAAAAATCAATGAGGAACAAAAAAAAATCAAAGCAAAAGCGTACGAACTTCTTCAAGATGGGCCAGAGAATGTAAAGAAATTGGAATCTGCAATTGAGGCTAGTACAAGCAAACTGATTAATTTAGCAAATCAGTGGGAAAAACATAGGGTGCCCTTAATCATGAAATATAGGCAAGAAAGAGAGAAGCATTCCACAAAAGCAGTAAGTATACAAAATTAATTAAATTTTGAGGTAACCAAGAGTCATTTATATTTAAAAAATGATTACATTTTTATTATAGAATGCGAGCCAAAAGAAGCTGGACGAGATAAAATTGTTAAAAGAGAAGGAAAAAGAACTTCAAGAAGAATGTCGGAATAAAGACCAACAGTATTCACAGTTGGTCGCAGAAGTTCAGAAACTTCCTAAGGAAGTGAATAGATCTGCATACACTCAACGAATTTTAGAAATAATAAATAATGTCAGAAAACAGAGAGATGAGATAAGCAAGGTTCTGGCAGATACTCGTGAAATTCAAAAGGAAATCAATACGCTTACCGGGAGATTGGAGAGATCCTTTACCGTCGTAGACGAACTAATATTCAGAGATGCAAGAACAAACGAAGCTTCGCGGAAAGCTTACAAATTATTAGCGACGTTACATTCAGACTGTAATGAACTCGTAAGTTTAGTCGAAGAAACAGGTGCGACAATACGAGAAATTAGAGATTTGGAAGAACAGGTAAGATGCAACGATAGAAGGCTTAAGAAAAATAGGTTTATATAGCGCAGAAAACTAACATTTAATCTAACATTTATTCAGATCGACTCCGAGTCCGCGAAAAACGTCGGTGCTAATTTGGAAAGGATAACTGCCGATTTAAAACAAATGAAACAAGAAACCGCCGCATTAACCGCACAACTCCAAAGTAAAGCCTCGTGATTGTTATGTACAGTACAGCGTCATTTTGCGAATTGTAATATTCAGGACCAGATGGGAGTTTAGTACAGGTATAAAGCTTGTTTTTTACAATAATTGTGTAGAGAATGAGAAATATTTAAACATAATTTGAATTTTCTATAAGATAACATTATAAAATTATAAAGACATTCTTTTACTATTTTACAGAATATAAACGAATACGATCGAATGCATTAAAGACCAAACATTTTTTAGCTACGCAACCAGCAGAATATAACGCGATATTGCCCGTGAAAGTCTCCACGAATCTACTAAGTTAGCTGCTAAACGAACGTGCCTTGGCCTGGAGTCGTCAGGCATTAAGGCTTTTATTAGCCTCGGGCCAAGTGTATAAAAACATGCTATTAACATCAATGCTCAAAGAGACATTATTTATTATAAAGCCTAATAATTTTTTAGCATCAAGTTCAACTTTCGTATCTCTCGCAACTTAAAGATCTGACTTGCGGCTGTAAATAAAATAACTGCTAAAATATCACTTTCAAACAAAGAACATGTACAAAATATAGAATGTGTATAAGGGTAAAATCAACGTTTAATATTTTATACATACTCTCCTTGAAAATTATTTTCATAAGATAAATATATATAAAACACACACATAATATCAAAGTACGAGACAACAGTTCCAACTTTTTTGTTCTGATCCTCTATATTTTGTTCTGATCCTCTATACATATGTGTACAAGTCCTTTTTTTACATAGTACACTTTTATTTCTTACTTTTAACGTCCGGTGGTATGTAGGACTCTGTAGTGATTAACTTTCTTAAATGCTTTGCACTATTGTGCATCGCACGAACACGTTCATCTTGTCTGCGTTCTTTTTCCTGTATCTTTTCTATTTCCAATTCATTTTCTTCCTCTTTGTCAAAGAATGTCAAGAATTGTTCTCTCTTTTCTAAATCTTCCTTTATTTTCTTTATATTATTAATTCTTCTTTCTCTGTCTATTTCTTTCATTTGCGCTTCTAATACTGAAGTTCTTTTATGTTCCCAATCGAGATAAGCCTGAAAATTCAGAGTATATTTGGCAATTTTATAATTTACTGTATATATTGGTATTAAGTAATTAATTAAATTCCAAAAAAATTATTTTTATTAATATTTATTACCTGACATTGTTTAGAAATATCCTTTTCAGCTTCCTCGTTTATAGCCGCTTTAATAAGATTCTCTATTGCTTCAATAAAGCTTTCTTTAAGATTTTGTTTCTCCTTCAATATAGACAATTGAGCCTCCACAAGTTTGAACTTTTCAGCATCTTGATCTTGGAGTCCACTGTTATCTTTTGATATTAATTCAAATACTTCGTCGTAAACTATTTTGTCTTGTTTCATCTCTAATAATTTCTTTATTAAGTTTAATACATCGTCATACTTCTTATACAATATCAAGCCTCTTAACTGGCAAGATCTCCCTACAGCATCTGCTCTATGCTTTCCCTGAAAGTTTAGAGTCTTGCCAACAAGATCTTTCGGATCAGTGAGATCAAAATGATCGTCAAAGTATGGATTTCTTAGATAATCTACACGTACTTTTACTTCCTCTGAAGTATCTACTGGAACCTCGGGTTTCTTCCATTCATCAGGATTTTCTAGGTATTTATGGCATGCATATAAACACAATGCATTAGTGATAGGATGACCTGCGTCTTCCTGCAACATGACTAAACTTGCCACTTTTGCAGCAGAAGTATAATCCTTCCTATTTATGAAGTGATCCATGAGCATGTTGTAGTCGAAATAATCAGGAAAAATACCATAATTTAATCTGTCATTCAGCACTTCAAGCAATTCTTGGATGTAATTGTGCTGCAAGAAATACCGTATTACGGCATGATGTGTGGAATCCAGTATATTCGCCGTTTCTACAGATTGCCTGAGATTATGCAATATCGTTATCATCTCATCGACATACAGATTGTCAGTGACACTGTTGACAAAGATGTCAACGTCGACGGCGCTAACTTTGCCGACGTCCCCATACTTTTGGTCCAGCTGGGCATACATCGACGTCGGTTCGAGCTTCTGTAACAGCGGCGACTCCAGCCTACGACTCCACGCTTCCTCGCAGCGATACGCCTCCGACAGGAATAGTCTTCTTTGCACTCGCGTCACAGGATCCTTAGAACCACGATGGACTCGGCAGAGTCTGTGACCAAGTCTGAGCGTTTTCAGCATCTTTATTATTAAATTATCCGTATGTACTCACATAACCTTATTACGAGTAATGCAACAGCCGATTTTCTACCTCCTTTTTTGAATCCACGTTTTTAGAATATTTTAAATTACCACGTTTTTATTTTTTCCATTAAAGTTAATACCCAGATTTCTGTTGCCTTTGATCACAGATCATCAGTTCACCACGCTTTCATGATAGAGACATAGAGGTTATGTTATATGGCCCTTTTGCATAAAGGGCCATTTACAATGAAAATAATAAGTGTAATAAGTTGCAAGCCATAAGAAATTGACCAATCACAAAAGAATGTGAGGAGAATAATAGATTATGATTGGTTAATTTTTTACAGCTGAAAACGTTCACGTATTTACTTTTCAATTTTTTTCACATGCTCAGTCATCATTTTATTGGCTGCGTTCAGTAGAGAAAGCAGCTTTGCAACTGTCGTAAAATTCTCAGATATGATTGGTTTATACATTTAGATCCAGTGAGGAATTAAGGGCAAGACCAATCATATTAAAGAATTTTACAACAGTTGCAAAGTTGCTTTTTCTGCTGAACGCAGCCTATTTGCTGGATTCACACTGCATCCGATTTTCGTCGTACGACGCTCTGCAACCAATCAGAAAACAGGATTCCGATGGATTTTACTTCGTATCATCGGAATCCTGTTTTCTGATTGGTTGCAGAGCATCGTACGACGAAAATCGGATGCAGTGTGAATCCAGCAATTTGGTGCCGCTATTTTTTATCAAGCCAATCAAAAATAAGACAAAATTAACCAGATTCTCACTTCTAGGGATACTAGCTGCAAGTGGGTTGAAAGTTGAAATTCGCATCATTGGTTTAACTGTTAACAGCTGACTAAACTAGAGGAATTTTATGTTTACGCTCCTCGTGTATGATTCTTTCACAGACTATCGAGCGGTCATGGACGCATTGGAGAATGATTCGAGTAATTGTCAATGGAATTTAGAAGTTCGAGTACAAATTTGCTTGCAAAGCTCAATTTCAGATGATTCTCGAACTGTGAAAATGTCTAATAGCTCCAAATACATTTCCGTCAATGGACTCTGTCAATGGATTCTATCAGTGTCATGAGGAGTCCAGTGCAATAATACTACAAAATATATAGAATTTCGTAAAATAAGACAAGAGATGAATAATCGCGTGCGATTTATTGTATATAGAGACCGTATGATTTTTGATGATGTCACGGTCGAATTACACAGTGTATTTAGGTATACAGAACACAGTGAATGGTTTACACAATTTCTAAAGGATGATAATGAGTTTTGTATATGTAGATTTACAAAACCAGTTTGTCTGTGTAAAAAAGGACTCAATTCCTACCTCGTCTCAGCCTATATTTCGATGATATCAAAGTCATATGTTTATCGTAAGAGTGCTATGACTGTGTTGAAACATTTTCAGACAGCATGTGATAAGCCATTTAAAGAAGAACATTCGCTGATAATACTTGTAAGATTGAGAGTACCAAGAAGTCAATTCCTGGATTACAAATGGCAAGTTTTGTAGTGATTTTACAACACTAATTTAAACTGTTATAGTCTTTTACATTTATCCTTTCTTAGGAGTGAAAAATTAATGCAAATGGTTGTAGAAAGACAAGAAGTTGATCATGCCATGTCTTGGCTGTCCACGCTTGGAGGAGCGTTTTCTGCATTGGGGGAAGAATTCGATCACTGTGTAAGTTACCATTGGCTCTTTTGTCAAATTATGTAATATGCTTTCACTAATCTAACGTATCTTGTACACAGGCTAAAATGGCAGGCAAAATCTCGGTGAAGCAGTTTGAATTGGCAATGCGCCTTGACAATCCTCTCCTTGTTGCCCGTTGCAGATTGTATGCTGCTTTAAGTTTTATTCAACGTGGCAATTTTACCACACCTAAGTACATGATACGGAGAATTTATAATTTTGCACTCGAAGAAAAAGACGTTCGTCTCCAAAACATGTGTCAGGGTGTATGGGCCAAATTGCGATATAGTTACAAGCAATACAAACAGCAAAAGAAATCATTGTTGAAATCTTTGCATATATCTTCAGAAATTTAGGAAATTTACTATCTGCATTTTGTAAGCATGTTGATAATATATTATTTTACAAACATGATAGTCCTAAATTTTTTTAGCATTATCTTTTCGATTAAAAAATTAAATTATTGAATTTAAAGTAGTAGGAAAGTAATAATTATTTAAAACAGCTTATTGAGCAAAAATTTTTAATTATATCGGCAAGTTTTTATTAAATTTTACATATCTATATTATCTCTCTCTTTCTTTCTATTGCTTTATTATGTAATGTGTACATGTGCGAATTTTTTAAATTAGCATGCACAGAAATACGAGCGTTTCTATACTATATCATACAATATTGCATTTAAATGATAAGAAATTTGTTAAATCGCAGGTATGTAATACGACGGGAAATTGTTTGCACAGTCTATTTATTTTTGTTTATAAGAGATATAGTTTCGCGCATGTTAAAAACGAAGTACTGAAACAACCATTTGATTATTTATAATAGTAAATTATGTTAAAAACAGATACATTATTGCCTACAGATAAAGTATGCGATGCAACGTAATACACTTCCGTTTTTATCGGAAACTGCGGTTTTTTAACGCGTTAAACGATATTTATTTCGTGATTTCAAATATGGTAACTCATATATTCAGTCTTGATGATTTAACTAAACGTTGCCCTCGTACACTGTAATAAACAAAACGGACTTAATACAAAGCCACTTATCAATACTGCTGCATTCTCTTGTATAAGGTATAAAATATTGGTATATTTGTACAATCACTGCCCCCGGAATTTTTATTAAATATTTCGTTTTCTCGAGTTATACTTGAAATGTTTTGTCTGTAAAATAAAACTGCTTGCCATCGCATTTAGTTAAATCACTTTAACATCAATGAGCGAGCGTGCCCATAGGATCCCAGGCGGGTAAAACAATGGGCTCCTGATTGAATACAGCCATCACGTCCGCAGGTACGTATTTTTTATCCACGACTGCCTCAAAGACAAAATTAGCAAACCACTCGGTTGTCACAACCTGATAACCTTTTTGACCATGATCCTCGCCCCATGAATTCTCTATCCGAAACTTCTTTATTTTACCTTCTCGCTGAAACAGAATAATATTTATATATTAGATAAATCATTGCAATATTGAATAGAAAAGGTAACTTTGTAGCAATTATAAGATTCTTTAATATGATTGGTTTATACATTTAGATTCAGTAAGAAACTAATGGCAAGACCAATCATATTAAAGAATTTTACAACAGTTATAAAACTTTTTTTTTTGCTGAATACAATTATTAATAAATATTGCTTAAATTTGATATATATACGGTATAGAAAAAATATTGGAAAATACTTACATCTATTGAAACAGCCGTAAATGCCATTGCGTGTACCATCATAGAATCTCCATAGAGTAATCTGTCGGCTTTAGAAAGCCCGAGGTGAATATCGGTGCCAAACATTAGTTCGAAATTGTAAGTGTTTATATCATGAATACCATGTTTATCTATTAATCTTTTGTTAACATCACAACCGAACCAAACAGGCTCGTTATCTTTGATACTCTCGGCGCACAGTTTCATCAGTAATTCCACTGGCTGATTATTGTAGCGAGTAGTTTTCCCACTCACGACATTTCCCAAGCAATCTACGGTATAGAGTTTCCCGTAAGGATTACCCGGTCGTGGATCGGTTACCAGGCATACTTTATCGTTCACATTGTAATACGGTTTCACACAATTCTCGTAAAATTCTAGTGGTGTGATTGGGCCCACGCAGTTGTAATTCTTCGACTTGTCGTAATATTCCCATGTAATTTTCTCAGAAGGTACACCCAAACAGATGCCGATTATCCGATAGATCACCGTCATTTGCTCATTTATTCGTGTCTTTAGCTCGTCATCAGACGCACCATTGTCAATCATGTCTCGCAGAGCCTTGGCATATTCTCTTAGCTTGCTTTTCAACAGGCTATTCATACGAACACTAGACTCGCAACTGTATGACTCCGGGAAACACGTTTTCGGCACGACACCGTGTCTAGTTATCAGATTCACAATCATGTCCCATTGGCCACCATCGCAGGTAGGATCGGTCAACAGGTAGTTGACTAAACGGCCCTCGACCGCCTCGCCGCGTTTCGCGGTGTTTACGATATTGTGAAGGAAGTAATTGCAACGTTCTACCTGCAAAAGAAATATAGCTGGCTGTAATGTCACAACAATAAAACGAACAATGACAGTGTTTACAACCAACGACATATATATATATATATATAT